AGGTGACCTCGACATGGGGAGCAACAGCATATCGTGCTCAGGTGACCTCGGGTCTTCAAATGACCCCCTTCAAACCCTCTACACATCGGTTGCATCAATCAAGAATGAGCTCAGCGTTGATGAGGGGGGCACTATAACACTCTCTGCTGACGTGCTCTCTGGTAGTGATGGAACTTACGACCTGGGCTCAGACTCAAACACATGGAAGTCAATTCATGCAGTAGACGCAACTCTGAGCGGCCCCCTGACCGCTGGAGGGGCCACACTGTCCGGTGACCTCGACATGGGGAGTAACAGCATCAGCTGTGCGGGAAACTTGGGCACTCTGGCAAGCCTCGCCGCCGAAACCGCTGACTTGGGGTCCCTAGAGGTGAGCGAGCAGTTCAACGTCCGGGATGGTTCGACCACATCGCTTGCGGCTCCGCTCATCCCTGGCAGCAACAATCAATATGACGTCGGCTCTGTGTCCAACTCGTGGCGCACGGTCTATGCCAGCAACGCGACCCTCGCTGGCTCTTTGACGGCGCGTGGCGCATCTCTGTCGGCGCCCATCTCACTGGGCAACAATGGGGTGACCCTCACCGGCCAGATTGCCAGCTCGAGCAGCAGAGCATCTGCCCTCTACTCGTCCGTTGCAGACGTTAACACGTCTCTTGTGAACAGCAACCTGACCTTACAACCTGGCTCTACCACCAACCTCTCAGCAGATTTACAGCCAGGGAGCAACTCGACCTTCAGCCTTGGCAGCTCAAATAGCAGCTGGAAAACCTTGTACGCAAGCAATGCCATCCTTAGTGCCGGGCTCACCTGCAAGGGTGTGGATACACAAGGGTCAAATATCACTGTGGGTTCGGGGAGCCTGACCGGAGCCTCTGCCAGTGTGTCCAACCTGACCGTCAACGGGGGCGGTTCGACCGCGTTCTATACATCGCTCACGCCAGGCAGCAATGGAGCATATGATATCGGGTCTGCTTCAGTGATTTGGCGGAACGTGTATGCGAGCAACCTGACGGTCACTGGCACACTGAACCTGAGCAGCAATGCAACGACTTCGACCCAGGGGTCTCCAAGCAGCAGGGTTGCAGTTTATGGGACAACAGTTGATGCGAACTATGTTGTGATCAACAATGACCTTACTGTTGGGTCAGGTGCAACGACCAACTTTGCAACCTCGCTTTTGCCTGGAAGCAATGGCATCTATAACATCGGGGCTGCTGGCAACGCCTGGAATGCAATCTATGGGTCCAACGTTACACTCTCAGGACAATTGAAAGCGGCTTCTGGCATCACATCATCGAATGGTCTCACAGTCGCGGCTGGATCGGCTTCTTTTGGGAGCAACGTTTCGGTGGCTGGCCCGTTGACGGTCGCAGGTGGGCTGACCTCGTCTAACGGGCTCTCAGTTGCAGCAGGCACAGCAAGTTTTGGGAGCAATGTTGCGGTCTCGGGCCCGCTTGTAGCGTCGGGCGGGCTTACTTCGTCAAACGGTCTCACTGTGGCTGCTGGTTCAGCTTCTTTCGGGAGCAATGTGTCAATCACTGGCCCGTTGACAGCCGCAGGCGGATTGACCTCGTCTAACGGGCTGTCAGTTTCCGCGGGCACCGCGGCTTTTGGAAGCAATGTTGCAGTTTCAGGACCACTGACAGCGTCAGGTGGGCTTACCTCGTCGAACGGCCTCACTGTGACAGCTGGTAC